GGGGGGGGGAGAGAGAAGAAAAAAAATGATATTCGGAAAACGTTCCTATGCGGTAATTACATCAGTGTAACCGCTTTTTGCGTTGGAATCCACTTAAATCGAGGACTCTCGGAATGCACGGACCATTGAGCACCGGTCGAGCAGATCTACGACGAGGAAGAGTTGGGAAAACGGGGCAAAGTCAGGGGTAACGAGAAGCACAAGAAGAAGAAGAAGAAGGAAGAAGGAAGAGAGGGAGAAAACGACGAGTTGGAGCGGTCTTGCATCGACAGTGGAAATGCATAGTTAGACGGAAGGGATCGTGCAGGATGCTGCAAAGCAGAAGATAGTTCGGGGATAGCTCTCTCTCTCTCTCTCTCTCTTGGTACAAGGGGGCATGATCAGCTCCAGGCGAATTTGCATTGTGGCCGGACGCTTCGTGTTTGAGCTGCACTGCAGAGCTCTGGCTACATCTGCCTCGATGCTCGCTGCACTTTAATCCTCGAGGAGAATCGTCGATATTCTCTACGACACGACGATCCTAGTACCGACCGTTACTTTTCATCGCTAAATTATCGGATGGAATGTAATCGATAAGAAGAGAGGAAAGGTGGTGTTTCGATCGTCACGAACAAACGCCGCTGGAAATCGATGCATTTCGATGCAACGAACGAAGTGGTCGTGGAAACGAGAATCGTGACGAGATTGCCTGGTACTTCTGTTCTACCTGCCGTGGCGGCTATCGTGCTGCAATCTTATCATGACTCTCTCTCTCTCTCTCTCTCTCTCTCCTGCTACTCGATATCGCGAACGAATTATTAAAGTCGCTCGGCTTGCAGCTTCGACTGCGTCGATATGCTGTAAGTTCGATTGGAGTTCTACTATCGGGACGATGCCAGGATTTTTGTTTAATTTTCATCTGTTACATGGTGACCGAAGTTCGGAAGAATTGATAGGATCTACGTTTAGAAATCCTAACGAGAATGGAAGATAAGAATCGATTAGACAAACTCGAGAATGAGTTCTCTAGGTCCAGACTGGTCTAATTATAATCCAGCTAGCTTGGAGTCCTCTCCTCATCGAGGTTTCTCCTTCTGTAGGAAATTACTGTCGGACAAAGATCACAAACGAGTGCTTTAAACAGAGAGAGAGAGAGAGAGAGATGAGACAAGGGGATAAAGACTCCTCAGCTTACGTAGTCTATATTTCAAGCTACAGTTATCGCAAAACCGATCTCGAACTACAAAATTGTACTTGGAAAGTTCCAAGCGAAATTTCCACTCTCAAAACTATCGAGGCTACACTCGTACAAATTTCCACTTGCATTCGTCGAGAAAGAGAGAGAGAGAGAGAGAGAAGGTCCATTGAAAACCTAGCCAGTTGCTCTTCCAGGCTACTCTACAAACACTTGCCCAGTTACGGGGAAGACAAACGGTGCTCTAGTTACCCAGGCCACTTCCTTCGCCCAATATTCGCCATAATTACCAGGACAAAGGGACCTCTAACTGCCAGGCGTTGTCCGCTGTCCGAAACTTCACCAGAAGACGCGTTCCTGACGCCTGACAAGCGGAGGACAAACGTTTGGATTAAATGTAACACAGCGACCGAGGGGAGAGACAGTGGGAATAGAGGGCAACAGGCGAGAGGTCTCTCGGCGGAAAATCCAATCTTACGATTGAAGAGAGAGAGAGAGAAATGGATGGAAGAAGCGGTGTGTGCAGAGTCGCGTCGTCGTGAATGGAAAACGAATCACTCGGAAAAGTTCTTAGTCGCGCGACCAGATCACACTCCTCCGATGCGAAAAACTTCTCGTTTATTCGGTATAATCCATTCGAGAGAAAGAGAGAGAGAGAGGGAGGAAGAAGGACGAGTTTCGATCGAGTTTTTAAGCGGGGACCACCGAGCTCGGAGCGAGAGGATGAGGATGGAGGAGGATGGGGCAATGATTTCTCGAAGGCAGAACGGCAGATACGATCGAAACAGCGGGTCGCGGCGCTCAACAATGCGCGAACTTTCGGGCAAGTGCGCGGAGCTAAACTGGCAAGTTTCACGGATGGCACAATGCGACCATTATGACGACGGAAGGAAAGAAGTTAAGAAAGTTCTCGCGCGTAGCGGGAGGAGCCGGGGGAGGGTAAAAGGCGGTGGAAAGCAGAAATTCTCGACGCGCGAAGGTGTCAGAGGAGAGAGAGAGAGAGAGAGATAGGCGAGAGATAAAAGTCGTAAAATTTAACGCGCATCGCATTCAATCAACGTTCGTTTGTGGCGGCCAGAGCGGAGCAGTTTCTCACCTCTTGCGCCGAACTTTCTTCCCTGCTCGTCTTCTAACGCGTGATTTCACCTTTTTCGTCTCGTCCAACCGTCCACCAGACGCGACACTGTGAATCACAGGAAAACTCGTCGCGACTGGCAACCGAAAAAATAGAGACAGTGCTGGATTTTTATCGTCGTTCTAGCACAGTCGTTGGCGTTTTCATAAACTCATCCGCGTGTGCTTGACGAGGCCCTTTTTTTTCCCATGTGTAATACCACAATTCACGTTGGGGGCTTAGAGAGTATAGACAGAGAGAGAGAGGGAACGACGACCACGATAATGTGTATACGCGGATACTCGAATGGTCCCCTCAGACTCTAATTAACTCGGATATTGACCAGAGCGGCGTGTATCAAGCGTGTGTGCACCCCGTAACCGTGGGCTTTTTGCTCCACACGCGTTCGGTCGCGGTACACAAACGAGGGGGAAAACCGGCGAAAAAAGTGGCTCCAATTTATCAGGCTCCTACGTTTTTATCGGTGCGCCATTTTTACGAGCCCCTTCAACTGGGAAGAGAAGAGAAGGGAGAGGGAGAGAGAGAAAAAGGGGTAGCGCAAACGTCAAAAACTTCGCGATCACGTGCACCGAGACGTGACATCGGTACACGATACGATAAGGGCCCTTTTCGAATGCGTAACGAGAGATGCGTTCCGAATCGCGTTATTCGTACCGAGAAAAATATCGGGACCCTTTGTTCACGTCTAGTCACGCTTGCTCCCTCGCTATCCACGTCAAATTAGCCGCTCGTTCCTCGCTGCATCGTACTTTAACGAGAACGGAATTCTGGCAATTATACATTGGGACATTTAACTGTAGGACTCCTGAGGGTTGTGGTCCTCGAATTTGCAAGTCGAAAAGTTTGAAATTTCGAGTTCTCGAAAAATTGTTTATCGTCGTGTACATCTTCGAGTTTGGTATTTTACGAGCACTTTTGCTATATGTGAAAAATACTGGCGATCACGCGAAACGAACCTTTTTACCTACAAAGAATAACAAAGGATCGCAGAACGAAGAATATCGAATTGACTAATTGGAAAGAAGCGACGCAGCATTCAATCAGTTGCAAACATTTCGCGAACATGGCACGTATTGTACTTTGCTAGTTTTTATTTTATTTTATTTAAGCACGTTTGCTGTATGTAAAAAATACCGTGCATAAGAAAATACTGGCGATCACGCGAAACGAACCTTTCTATCTACAAAGAATAACAAGCGATCGCACTAATCGGAAAGAATCGATGTAGCATTCAATCAATTGCAAACATTTCGCGAACATGGCACGTATTGTACTTTGTTGGCTTTTATTTTATTTTATTTTTGCTAGGTTTTATTTTATAAATACATATAATTAAAAATAAATTCAAGGCAGAAACGTATGCTACGTTTTTCTACGAAATATGACATAATCAAGCGTTATGAAACTTTGTTGGAAAATCAATTTTTTTCAATATGAAAGTGTAAGAAGTATGGGTTCACGGAACCTCCCTTAGGGTCCCGCGTGATGGCCTAGGGCTCAGGAGTCCTAGGGTTAAAAGAAGTTAGATACTTCTCAAACTTTCTTTTTTAAGGTGTCTGGATATCGTCACTTCCACTTGAACCCCGAGTCTCTTTCAACCCTGTACGTGACTTCTCCAAAAACAAACATAAGCCTCGAAGTCCTCCATCGTAATTTACTCCCTTCCCAAAAAACCTGACTCTCCGAGAACAGCGCCTCCACCTTCTCAATAAACAATCAAAATCCTAATACCCGCATCCTCGCAGCAAAACACTTTTACCAAAATTATATTAACACTAGGTTTACGGGCATTTCTTATATACCTGTCTCTACGGACACGCGTCCAGTTGACGACAGAAAAGCAATTTTCTTTGAAAACAACATATTATACACAATTAAATTATAAATGAAACTACGTGACATTATATATTTATATAAAATTTATAATATGCATAAGTGGTAGGAGAGAAATGTAAATTTGTGGTTTCTGTAATTTTCCCAGTGAAATGCGAAATGCGTGAAAATCACGCGTCCCGTAAACCTAGTGTTAACCCTCTAACTCGCTCTAGAATCAGAGAAAACCCTCAAAAGATAAATTTCTCGAGTTGACAAAACCGCAGACGATTTTCAATTTATCCAAGTATTCGATTTGTGACTTTTTCAGGTTCGCGACAGAGTTATGGCGAAGGGTGTAGGCGAAACGACGAGCGAAAGGAAGCAACAAATATTTCGTCGCGATAAGAGATAGTTTAGTCGACGGGAGATCGGTTTGAAAACATATCGGGTAAACCGAGGGAGGCTTTAGGACGCTCGACACGTCCGACGGTTTCGGACGCGCCTTCG